AGACTCTGTGTGTGTGTGTGTGTGTGTGTGTGTGTGAGAGAGAGAGAGAGAGAGAGAGAGAGAGAGAGAGAGAGAGAGAGAGAGAGAGAGAGAGAGAGAGAGAGAGAGAGAGAGAGAGTCTGTGTGTTGTATTGCCTTGCCTTGCCTTGAGCGATGAGAGTTGAAGGCCGCCGATCGGAAATGGGGAGACTGCCTCACGATGAGGTAGCCGTAACTGTTAGGACGGGGCCACCTGTCGGTGCCTCTCCTAAAGGCAGTGGCACACCTCCAGCGCGATTCGCCCAAGGTGACTTCGATGACAAAACTGCGTACACTCTGACATTTCAGAACCTGACGTACAAGGTGACCGTGAAGCAGAGCAGCGGCGATGGCGGCAAGACACATAGGGAGTTGTTGAAGAACATCAGCGGCGAGGCTCGTCATGGGGAAATCTTGGCCATCGTGGGTCCATCGGGAGCGGGGAAGTCCACACTCCTCGATGCGCTTGCTGGTCGGATCACGGCCTCAAGTCTGGAGGGCGTTATTCTGGCCAATGGCAAGCCTGTGGACGGCAAGCAGTTCCGCAAGCTCTCGGGGTACGTTATGCAAGATGATGCCCTGTTTCCGCATCTCACAGTGAAAGAGACGTTGATGTTCAGCGCTCGTCTCCGGCTTCCTGGGGACATGCCGATGGACGTGAAAGCGGCGCGCGTCGACATGCTTATCGCGACGTTGGGTCTTCGTGAATGTGCGGACACACGGATAGGCAACGAGCAAGTCCGAGGGGTGTCGGGGGGAGAGAGGAGGCGGGTCTCCATCGGTGTGGATCTGATCCACGACCCCGCCGTTCTATTCCTGGACGAGCCGACGTCCGGACTGGACAGCACCTCGTCGCTGAACGTGGTCCAGAACTTGTACCAGATTGCGACCAATCGCCGGCGCACCATCGTGATGACCATTCATCAGCCTAGCTTCCGCATTCTGGAGCTTATCCATAAGATCATGATCTTGTCACGTGGCTCCTTGGTGTACAGCGGTACTTATCCTAACCTGTCGATCTTTCTGACCGACTACGGCAGACGCGTTCCCGACCATGTCAATGTGCTGGAGTTCGCTCTGGACGTGATCGAGGAGCTGCAGGAGTCGCCGCAGGGTGTTGCTGCCCTCGCCGACTTCAACTCTACCTCCTCTACTACCGGATGGTCCAGATCCCAATCCAAGCTGCAGCCTTCATTGTCCGGACTGAGCAATAATATCGCACAGCTGGTGGCGGAGGCTGCAGACTTCGCCACCAGTCCATTCACGGAGACGTCGACTCTCTGCCACCGCAACGTCATAAACATAGTTCGAACGCGGGAGTTGTTCGTGTCTTCCCTCGGATTGATGATCATCACTGGAATAATCCTGGGCTCCCTTTTCTATGGCGTGCACAAGGACGACAGTGGTAAACTCCACAGGAGCGCCGTCTTTGCCTTCGCCTGTGCCGTTCCGTTGTTCAGCGCCATCCACGCCCTGCCCATCTTCTTGCTGGAAAGGAACATCTTCATGCGCGAGACGAGCCGAGGAGCTTATCGCACGTCTTCCTATGTCGTCGCCAACGCTCTGGTCTTCCTCCCCTTCTTCTTCATCCAGGCCTTGTTGTTTACGCTCGTTTCGTACTTCTTGGTCGGTCTTGTTCGTGTTGCTTCTGCGTTTTTCCTCTTTGCCACGACCATCTTCCTGACCATCACCGTCGGCAACACGTTCGTCACATCCTTGGGGTCTCTGGTGCCCAACTTCATCGCCGGGAACACCATCATCACTGCCATCACCGGCTTCATGTTCCTCTTCTCCGGCTTCTTCGTACCGAAGGATGATATTCCCGAGTACTGGATCTGGTTCCACTACATCTCCACGTTCAAGTACCCGGTAGAATTGCTGCAGAAGATCGAATACAGTCACATAAAAAAATGGGAGAACGCTCAGTCTGAGAACGGAACCTACGTTCACAACCGTTACGACGAAGGGCAAAAAAACGTGACCTCTGGCAGCGACGTCGCCCGGCAACTGGGGTTTGGGGGGGTGAGTATCAGAGGCAACCTTGCCGTGCTTGTAGCGATGGTGGTTGTGTATAGGATCGTCTTCTGCGTTGGTCTTCGTGTGAGGAGCTCCAACATGCGCAAGTAGTAGAGTGTCAGGACTCAGCAGCTTCAATTCCTCCTTGTTCGTTCGTTTTTTTTTTTTTTTTTTAATTATTATTATTATTAACTAAGCTATATTCTTCTCTCAATTTCACCTTTCAGGCTTTGACTATCTACCTACCACTACTCCAAAGACTGTAGAGTCAGTGTAGACAGGGGACCCCTGCAAGCATAGCTACCTCTCAGTGGCTCTCACAATTAAGGGAATGGCATTGTCTTTCCCCCCGCACCCACCCCTCTTCCCTAATCGGCGGTGTTCAGGGAGTAGGGTGGGCCCGCCGGTGGGGGGACCCGGGGGACGGGCTAACGCAAAGACCCAGCATTTTGCCAGTAGCTACTACCCCTCCCATCTACTTCCCCCGGTTCCCCCATCGGCGCCACCGCCTATCGAGTAGCAGCAGTGGCTATGGCAGTGGATATGGCCAACACTCTCCCACACACCACACCCAACCCACTCACGCTCTTACGCTCACACTCACACTCACACTCACACCCGTGTTTCGTTTTGTTTCTTTTCTTTTCCGTCGGGACGAGGTGGGGGGCCGCCCGGGCCGGTGTGTGTCGTCTCTCCCCGAGTGGTATTAGATCGGATCCTCTTCTTTTCCATTTTTTTTGTTCTTTTTCTTTTCTTTTTTCTTTTTTTTTTTTTTTGGGGGGGGAGATCTTATTTCATTTTCCAAGAACATCGATCGATGAGAGGACATACTATTGGCTGTAATCTATTAGTGGGGAGCAGCACTTACAGCCAAAATGGGTCCGGTATGCCTTAGGCAGCTTTTTTTTAGGCTATATTTACAAATGAACATTGAAGGCATGAGATGAAGAGGGATCTGCATTGGACCATTGGTTGCCCTTTTCCAAGGGCCGATTGGCTGATTCTTCTTTTCGTGCTGTTTGAGATTTCTCCCAAACTGAGGGCATCCTCACACAGTCACACTGGGACTTTTTTACTTATTTTTGGACGCAATTGTGGTCAGATGCATTCATGCCTGGCAGCGAATGGTTTCAGATACATTTTAAAAATCGAGCTGGTCTGAGTACACCCTGCGTCCTTTTGGTCGATTCAAGATTGAACTAGATTCCCACGTGTTACCCACCCGTTCTCCACAGCGACTTTGTTTCCAAACTGAGAACACAACGTTCCACTTGCATGACATTGTGATGATTGTGTTAAGCATATCGCTAGCGTTAAAAACTTAGAAAAAGTGACAAACCCGACTCTACTACGTTACTAGTACTTACTACTGCTCTCCGCAATAGACGATAAGCTTAGGTCGAAAGTTCTCGAAACCACATCCATACAACCATTATCCATAATTATTCTAACATACTAACCGTGTCACAAGTTGTCAGTCAAGCTGGCAAGCTGCATTCAGAAAGATTTCCACCATTCTGAGCTCCCTTCACTTGAACAGTGTCATCTCTGTGTATGGTGTACGCTACTGCACTCAGTGCACTGTACAGTGTACAATGTACACGATATAACAGGCCAAAGCTTTAAGTACTGTAAGACAGAGTAAGTGTGTAAGTTAAACCATATGATCCCCATCTTATCATTGAATGTGCGCCTTGTGTGAGATAGGCTATCAGGATCTCACGAAAGCTAATTTGGTCTGGAAGAAATGGTTAGCTGACGAAAGAGTGGCCAGCTGGCCCACTCTCCCACTTTTGCATACATCTCCCAGGTCTTGCTAAGGGACCAGACTGGGTGTGAATTGACCGCTCCCAGGTCTTGATGAGGGAGCAGCATTGGTGAGGGATGCACAGAGAACTGATACGTGTGAACACTGAACAGGAAGGCCGGCAATTCAACGCCAGCGAGAGAGTCCTAGTACCGTCCTACCAGTCCCCCGTTTCCAAGTCCCAGCTGTCCCTTTTCCCCCTCCCCTCTGCTTTACCCTTTCCCAGGCCTTGCCCCCCCTCCCTCTACCGACCACCACCCTCCCTTCCCCCCTCCCCCAATCCCTCCCCTTCCTCTCGGGCAGGCTGGCCCACATACTAAGTACGACGCAATGGGACACATTACCACAGACCTGGATTGCATTAACTATCAGGCTCCTATCAGCATAATTGTTTTACTCCTCATCCATCAAAGAGGAGTGGTTGCTCAGTGGTACGGTCCGTACGGATATTAAACAGCAGGGTTCGGAAAGGACTGAATCTCGGTGGTGTTCCTGGCCACATACGTAGCTGGTTTAAGTTAAGGTACTAGGTAGACCGTAGATGGGCAAGGAGAAGTATGTGAGAGAACCCGGGTTCTCGACAACAAGGAAAGCTTGCACATGTCCATAGCATTATTAATTTATTAATTGCCCCACATTCTTGCAGTGGGAACTTGGAAGTTGGAAGCGCTAGCCAACTGGAACGCGAGTCGAGATCTCTCTTATCTGAAGGAAGAGTCTGACGGGATCATGGGAAGTTTCGAAGAAGTTGCTGTAGCTCTGAGTCAGAAGTAGCGCAGAAGAACGACCGTCTTCACACGAATTTGGTCCGAATAGAACGCCCGGTCATTATTTATGTATTTGGGCCAACTTGCAGTCTAAATGCAGCAATAATGCTCGGGCGTTCTATTCGGGTGAAGACCGTAGCTCCTTTCTTGTACATTTGACTTGGTGGAGTGCGAGAGGACTAACTGGACTAACCCGACTCTGCCAATTCTTGTCATGAGCTTACTGTCTAACTGGGCTTAGCCTCTTAGGCCTTCAAGTTGTTGTTTTCAACTAAATGAGGCGTTGGACTAGTTTTCCAGCAAGTGTCGACCACCCCCCCCCCTTCCCCCTCCCCCGCCCCCACCAATAGATCGGGGCCATCAACAACTTGAAGGCGGAATCTTCACCTCTGAGGGGCTCTTAGCGCATTTAACTGACCGCCTAGGGACTCCAGGGGGGTAACAACGGTCCAATTATAATGATTTCGAAAAAACACTGTCAGTGAATAGGAAGGAGTCTCTCATAATTTTTTTATTTTTATTTACTTTTACTTAAAAAAAAAAAAAAAATCCCTCCAGTGCTAGCGATGCTCTCTCAGAATGTTTGGACGTCTGTAAGACTTCTGAAACGGCTGTGTGGCACGGTTCCAGAGTCCAGACTGAGCACTGGCAGACTGCAGAAGGACCAGAGGGGCAGCCGGGCACTGATGCTTGCCATTGCTCAGGCTTGGGTAGCAGCTGATCCTATCTTGCACTGATGCAGAAACACTAAGTCTTCATTAGACAACCCAGCAGGGCCAGCACCCTCATCAGGGCCTCATGCGCCATTGGCACTGTGCCAATGTTCTTCTCCCAAATATCCTCTTTGGCCGGAGGAAAAGAGAGGAGGCAGAGAGAGCCAGGTTGCGGGGGATTGGGGGAGGGGGAGGGGGGGGGGNGGAGGCAGAGAGAGCCAGGTTGCGGGGGATTGGGGGGGGGGGGGGGGGGGGGGGGGGTGGAGGGCTGGAACGGGAGAGAGAAGGGGAGCGGGAGTTGGGCAAGGGAAGGGGAGTGGCTATATCCCCTGGCAAGTCTGAGCCAAGGGGGTCATCTGGAGCTATCTGCTCTGATTCTGCTGCATTACAAGAATGAACTTTGGGAACTTTGGGAACTTTGGGAACTGGCAGGGTAGTGAATACTGTTCAGGGACCACCAGCCGTCCAATGCCAGTGCCTTTCCATCTTTCTCCCAGTTTTTCCCATAGTATTACCAGATTATTGTTCTGCTCCTTATCACACAGAGTCTTCTATTTGGATCCAGCCACTGCAGATTGATTGAATTTCTTTTAATTGGAGCAGGACTGAAGTCTGAAAGACTCTGAAGCGTCTTTTCCCATGAGGGGAGCTTCAGCCTTTGTGGATCGCTATCATCTCTTTCCTTCAGAGGAAAATTGTTTGGTGTGCCTTGCCTGGTACTATGAAAGCGGGTGAAAAAATATGGGGGGCTAGTCCCTTCGGGCCTGCGCAGATGGTCTGCTAGCTCGGTTGTGACCTTGTCAGGCTTTTTTTGGCGGCCCCAGCAGGGCTGAAGACTTGTGAAGAGGCCAAATTAATGTTTCGACTCTGGCCCCAGCAGGGCTGAAGTCTGAGCTGGCTATTTGCAACATACTTATCAATGTTATCTTAAGTTTCTCGATTCAGAGTCTTCAGAGAGAGTCAATTCCCTGGCTACGTTAAATTTTCAATGATGATAATCATGTTATTGACATTGCAGCCAAAGCAGCCAGTCAATCCTTCTTTTTTTTTTTTACCTTTGGGAAAATATTTTTATTTTATTTTTTTTTTTTTTTTTTTTTTTTTAAACAACACCCCCGCCAGTGTTAGTGCTGCTGATAAGAGCAGACACCACTAACACCTAGGGAGAGGCTCCGTCTATTGGTGGGGAGCATCACCTGGTGGAAAACAGGTTATACTGTCTCTTATACACATCTAGATGTGTATAAGAGACAGGGTGTGAAGTTGTTAACGTATAGGCGGTGAGGCACCTTATAGGGAGTCAGGTGATAGCACTACATGGTTAGGACTATCGTAGTCTCTGTGCTGCTGGCACCACAAAGGGAGAGTTGCACCTTCGCCGTTAGGGGTAGGTATATGGGGCTGCACTGGGGTAGGGGCACTTTCCTACATATAGGGGCCTGCTTGGGTATACGTCTCCTCCATGGGCATGAATAGACCTCAATGACTCACAGGATGCGGTTCGAGAGAGTGTTCTGGGAGGTTGAAATGAATAGAAGCATCGGCAGAGACTGTGGGAAGGACCTAGGTGTATCTGGCAGCTCCATCATGATGAGAGAGAGATAGGCCGGTATAGTGACCTTGAATAGGAATAGGGGTAGGGGCGTCATAAGGGAGGGCTGTACCTAATGGGTAAAGTACATGAGGGAATAAGAACCCCAATATAGGGCCATGGATAAAAACCAATAGGATGCCGATGGTTACGACCGGGGGTAGCTAATAGGTGGGTGCATCGGAAAAAAGTAGCCAANGCTGATAAGAGCAGACACCACTAACACCTAGGGAGAGGCTCCGTCTATTGGTGGGGAGCATCACCTGCTGGAAAACGGGTCCAGCGTCCCATATTACAGAAAGAATGATGTCTGAGAATGTCTGAAAATGTCTGAGCATGTCTGAGAATGAGAATGACTGCGGAAGATGAGGAAGATGACGACTGAGACTGTAGGGCCTGCCTCCCATAGAACTGCTAATATCACCCATCCCCTCATTGGAGCTCCCCTTATCTCTTTGCTCAGCCCTGCTACAGCAGCCCCTCTGTCTGATTTGTGTTGTTGCTGACCCTTTAACCCCTAAAAACCCTTCAAACCTTAGCAGGCCCTCTGTTCAATCCGTGTTCTATCAGTCAGTGAT